GTATGGAAAATGTTGCTCATGCAGCTTCTGAGCTAAAGCCATGTACCCGAACAATAGCTCTTGGGGTTTTATTTTGATGAGTTCATAGACAGAGGGCTATTTACAATTTGGCTTGTATTTTCACTGCAAGTGAATGTTACTGTAGACAACAGTTATGACTGAAATAAAATAGAGCTGACCACCAAAAAATCTCTCAGAAATTCCCAACTTCCATATGGTCAAAGAAACTCAGGAACAATTTCACTATTTCTGTTCAAGGATAGTCAATTCTTTGAAGGTTTATCATGGGTGAGGCTTCATATTAGCATTTGTAGCAACTCCAGTTCTTTCTCTTTTTCTAAGCTGGTTTGGTTTTGTTTGCTTTTGTTTGTTGCCCCAGGGTTGGCATACTGGCCACCATTGTGCCCCTAACAGCATTCTAAAGCCTGTAGGTATCAGGGGCACCATGAAAAATGGTGGAGAATATTCTGAGAATATTATCCATGGCTACTGGCTTCTTCTAGGGAGATGTGAAAAAGAATATCTGGAGGGAGGGCGGAAGCCTTCTGAGAAATTTCACCTCAAGTCTGTATTCCCTTTCCACAGTCTGGAAGGAAGGCAAGCTTAGTCCACTATATTAAAAACGGTTTATGCAATTCCCACAAAATTAAGAAAATGAGCATTACTCAGAATAACAAAAAATTAACTCAACAGGGAGTGGAATTAGAAGCTTTAAAAATCAATAAGATAACTGAGCCCGCATTATACTGAAAATAACACTATTATGAATTTAGCAATACAGGCTCAAAGCTCTTAGCAATCCTCTTACAGAAAAAAGTATTGGAGAATTTAGTTAATTCCTTTTGTAGTTAGCAGAGTATCAGGTACAAACAACTGCACAGAGAAGGCATTAGAAAATAGCTAAAGTCTCAGTATCCTGCCCCTTTTCACAGTGACTAGCACTTTATATGGTAAAAATTACCCTGAAAGCATTGTAAGTGGGGAAAAGGTATCTTTACTTACAGCTGCTGTCTATAGTTACAACGAGTAGAAAAAGAGAGTTTTCACACATGGGGGAGACCCTTCCATACTTCCTGCATGCTCAGAGGTCAGGAGAGGAGAGAGAGAGAGAGTGGCAAACAAAGGAAGCCACCCAGAGACCTTTGGGTAGTGTGGGTGGCATATAAATAAAATAAATAAAATAAAATAAATAAAACAAGCAAAAAAAAAAGGGTGCTGCTTATATACCGCCCCATAGTGCTTCAAGCACTCTCTGGGCAGTTTACAAGTTAATTATGCAGGCTACACATTGCCCCCCCCCAGCAAGCTGGGTACTCATTTTACCAACCTCGGAAGGATAGAAGGCTGAGTTAACCTTGAGCTGGCTACCTGGGATTGAACCCCAGGTCTTGAGCACAGTTTTAGCTGCAGTACAGCAGTTTAACCACTGTACCAGGAGGTTCTCAGCAGAAAAATCATGAGTGATTTAGCTAATTAAGCATGTTTATATTAACTCTAAGATTGTTCTCTCAAAATTAATTGACAAGACTTCAAGGAACATATCTCCCACAGAAGGGCAGAACAAGGCTACCTCCTCTCTCTACTACCTGGAGGGAAAAATCCTCAAATTCATGGGACTATTGGGTGGGCATACAATAAAATTTGTCTTTTTGCAAATTTTGCCCTTTTTCTTGCTAACCCACATGATGCAGTAGAATCTGTGAAGGACCCAAATGATCATGGCAAAATATATGGGCTGCAAATGAATTACAATAAATTTGAGGTTTTGTGTAGGCCTTTCAATGCAAAAGAAGAATTTATTATTTACCATAACTGGCCTCAAAGAAGCATCCAATTCAATCAGGTATCTTAAGCTAAACATTCCTTCTAATTTGACAATTAAAGAACAAAAAACATAAACTGAACTGTTATCCACCCTGGTCTCACATCAAATGGAAATTCACCAAATGGTGTATTACTGCGATACTATACCAAAATGTACTCTTTTTTTTTTTTAAAGTCAAGCTTTGCCTCATATTCTTTCTGCAAAATGTCTGTCCAGTTTTATATTTCAGAATAGAAGGTTTAGAATGGCTGTTAATAAACCATGAGACAGCCCAGTTAGGATGGGTTTCCTAGATATCAAGATACTATGATGTTTCCCACCTTTGTCATCTTCTCACACTCGTAACATAAATTCTTGGAGAAACAGTGGGTTCAGGTGGAGCATTACTTTTAAAAATAATTTTTATTCCTTACCAATATTCCCAGAGGGTAGAGTGAGGGTAAACCTGTTCATGCTTTCATGTTTACAGCCAGTATCCTTTTACGTAGCCCTGCCTGTGCAACAATAGTGATGTCATTGGCTGTAGCAGATTGCTGTTAATTAAATAATTTCTTTTTTTTTTCAACTTTGGGATGTGTGTGACTTGCATGCAGTGATATGATGTACACACCCTAGAATTTAAAAATAACTCTTTTAACATGATCTGTCATGGCTGGTCATATTTTAATTGTATAGACAGAGATACATAACATGATGTTGTCCATCAACTTTGCAAAAAATTAGTTTATGTTATTGGTTGCGCTATTCTCTCTGTTGATTTGTGTCTTATTGTTTCCATTGTTCCATCATGAAGATAAGTTTAGTAGATGGCAAGAGGCAGAGGTAAGTACACAAAGGATTTTTTCCCCAGAAAGTGAACATATTACAGGTCTTCAGTATGCAAAATTCCACCTCATACTTAGTGAATAGTTGAGATGCATTTCAGACCAGGATACACAAATTGATACAGTGGTGCCCACATGATGATGATAATGTGTTCCGTTAAAATCGCTGTACAGCGAAATCGTCGTTATGCGAAAATAAACACCCCATTGAAATGCATTGATAACCGGTTAATGCGTTCCAATGGGGGAAATACCTGCTCGTGCAGCGAAGATCCTCCATAGGGCGGCCATTTTGCTATCCCTGTCTTGTGGAAATAGGTCCGGAAAACAGCAGGGAGCCATTTTGTGAACCACTGATCAGCTGTTTTAAATCGTCATCTTGCAAACAATTGGTTTGCGAAGCAGGGACCTAATCGTCGTTAAACAAACAAACAAAAAAGGGACTTAATCGTCGTTAAACAAACAAACAAAAAACACCATAGGAAACATCATTTTGCAATTGCTATAGCGATCGCAAAAAAGGCATCATCAAGCGATTTTGTCATTTAATGGGGTAAGTGTCTAGCGGGGCACCACTGTATTTCCCCAGAGACATGGAACTTGTTATAACAACATTGGTTGTTTAAATCAATCCCAGCAGTGGGTTGGGAAACCACCAAGAAAATTGTGTATAAATGGTATCTCACTTCAATTAAATTAGGACACATTTCTAAGAATTCTTAAAATTTGTAGTGAAGAGCACATAGGAATCTAGGGGCTTTTTTCTATAGTTGGTAGAATTTTGTTATTATATTGTTTCTGGCTAAACCCTAATGATCAAACAGTCAATTCAGCTAAGTCCAACATTAGTACTATTAAACTTGTTTCTTGGTGACATCTGGTCCGTCTTGCATAAAAAAGTGATTGATAGTATTTTTTCTCCTTGTACCATAACAAGAGGTAGCCTATATGCCGATACATATACATACATATACATATACACATTTATAATATATAATTTATTTTTCTACAAATTTTGGGAGATTTTAAAAATAAATATTCCCCAATTTTAAAGCATTATCCAGGTAGGCCCCCCAAATTTTGCATCTCTTTTCTCCTCTCTGATTCCGAAAGTGAAATTACAGCTAGGGTCACAAAATTTTGTGCAGTGTCTTGTATAAGACAAAAACAGATAATTAAATCACTGTAGTGATCAGATTAGAAACTTACACTTTACTGCAATTTGAATTTCAGTCTGCTTTGTATTGCTGGTACACATTATATGATTTGTTATTCTATTTTCTTTTGCATATCTAACATGGCTGATATATGGCCATAAAAGCAATAAAGTAAGTAATCCTATTGGAAAAACATGCTCAACATAACTAGGGTTCTTGGCTATCTCTTCCGCCTTTAGATTTGCACCCAGTGGTGTCACTGTGTTAGTCTACCTTCCTTTAATTGCAGATTATCTCATCCTCTGCCCTGGACAAGTGTCAGATCCTAAACTTTGATTCTGCTTATACAACCCATTAGGAAGGCTATTGACAAACATGGGCATTAGTTGTGCCCCAAGCCTTTCCAAAACACCCACCCACAAGCTGTTGCAAGTTCTCACAATAATTGTTTTAAAAGCTGTTGCAAAATTCATGAAGATGTCAATTGGCTTGGAGTTGGTTACAGCAGTTGTTCTGCTTGTAGGTTGCACGAGCACTAGTGGGAAAACACCATTTCTGGTACTACTTCTGTTAGTGCAATATTCAGCATATGCCTTTTGGCAGAGTATATATTACCCTATTCTAGTAATGCCTTTTGCATGGAGATCTTCAACACTTTCCTCCACATCTACAACCAAAGATGGAGGTTTTTTTGTTGTTCCCAAGTTGTCTTGGAAAGTCTTCTCAGTAGATATTTGTTGCAAATTTGTTGTTATTTCCAGATATTTACATAGTGAACAATTTGTCATCATTTTTATTAGTATCTGTATGTGACATTTGATATTTGTCAATTTGCAAACACAAGTACTCAGCAGTATTTGATTAAAAATACGGAACAGTAGGTATGATTTGACAATATCTGACATATGACTTGCACCAATACCCCTGAACCCAGTGGAACTTACATCTAAGTAGACATGTGCAAGACTGACCTCTTAGTTTCTTGCAGATAGCACAAAATAATGATATGGGAGGTTCATAACCAATAGTGTTTCATAGTTTGAACTTATAAAAAGTCAAGGAAGTGACTTTTCAATCCCTTCAGTTTTGAATTTCAAGGTGAAATTTCATATGCAAAATGCAAAACACCATAAAAAAGTTTTTTTGTTCCATATTTTAATGGCAAAATCAAATACTTGAATATATTTGGAGGATTTGTAAATACTGTATTTTTGTTTTTGTGGTGTTCTTGTAATATGTATATTAAACTTAAAATAACTGAAGCTCCACAAAGACAGGATTTGAATTGAACAGCACAGTTCAAGAATTTTCAACAGTACATGAGAATTACTTATTGTTCTCATGTATTTTACATTCCTCAGATGAACCAGTGTGAGCAATAATGGTTACTGTTTCATTCCAGGATGTGCTTCTCATTATTGTAAGATCAACTTTACTGTGAAACAATATGCAGCACTCATTTCAGGAAGCTCTTCTGGAGAGATATTGATGAAACTGCTGGAAGCTGCCCTAGGTGAAGAGACAGAAGGTGGAAATAAATAATTCAATTCTTAAAAAAAACAAAACACAACCCTCCTGTTTATGAATGTAGGATATTGTGCTTCTGTATCCACTAATCAAAACTCCAGGAAATGGCCCAATATTGCTGCACAATATTGTGCTTGCATTGCCAGAAGGAAAAATGATGCCATGATTTGCACAGCAAAGGGCAACCTGAATATTGACGACACCAGTGGCAGCAATCAAGATGGTCTACAGCAGGGGTCTCCAAACTATTCACAGTAAGGGCCACATAATATATTTCCATATTTTCAAGGGCTGAAGGAACATGAACACATGTGCATACACACACTCGTATGCATGCACATGCTCCTGCCTGCCCACATGCACATAGGCACATATGGACTGGATAGAAAGGCAAGGCGGGCTGGATGACCATAAGACGCATAGACTTTCTACCCCCCTTTTGGAGGGGAAAAAAGTGTGTCTTATGGTACAAAAAATACGGTATGGACTGGATAGAAAGGCAAGGTGGGCTGGATGTGGCCTATACTTTGGAGACCCCTGGTCTACAGGATACTTGTTTAGCTCACTACCATTCACAAAGCAACACTGAACAAGGGAAATCCCAGAAGGGTCATGTATTTATATCTATGCAGTTTTGGAAGGAAGATGAGGCTTCATAATTGAAAACTGATCTAACATATCTTCAAATGGACCCATTGGAGGGTTGCACTCTTGTGTAACTGTATGGTTTAAGTTTTTATGTCTATGTATTTATTATATTTAAAATCTTTTGTATTGCTTTTATTCTTATATGTTTGTTTTGTATTTTTATTTCTTAAATGAAATAGAATATAAGATTGGATGGAGAAGATGGGTAGTAAAAATCAAATAACAGAAGTGTTGGAAATGGAAAACTTATCATGGTTTATTGTCATTCTGCTGGAATGTTGGCTTAGGGAATGGGTGAAAAGAAAAACTGAATGCATAGTGTTTACAAAATTTGAAGGAATGGTATTACACAAAGAAAACGAAAACAAGAGTAAAAGAATGAAAGGAATGATAAGTACAATTTATAAAATTGTAATAAAAGTAGAGGATCAACAAGGTGTATTCCAAATGCTATAGGAGGCTTATTTGGGAGAGGAAATAAGTATTGAGAAGTGGAAGAATATATGGAACAAAAGAATTTCAAAATATATATCTATAAGAATAAAAGAAAAAAATTACAGATTGGTTTGGATATGGTACAACACCAGCAAAATTGAATTGTATGGACAACAAATATTTCAAGATATGCTAGAGATGTGAGCAGGGAATAGGAACCTACTTCCCATATGTGGCAGAAATGTGAATACATGGCAAATTTGTGGAAGGTGTTTTTTAAAGAGATAAGTGAAATATTAAAGCTAAATATAGCTATATGTCCTATAATAACACCTTTAGCAATATTTGAGAGCGAACAATGGAATTGGACAATGAAAGAATTGATTGTAAATGTAGTAACAGCAGGTAAATTAAAAATAGCAAAGAACAGGAAAGTTAAGTGCAATCTCCAGTTAAATGTTTGGTACAGTACAGAAAAAAAACTGTCAAAGAAGAATATATTTAGAGATACATGGGGAGAATTTATTGATTTTGTATTAACAAAGGGGAAAAGTTATATACGTTCTCAAGAGTCAATGTATTTTAGGAAGGGGAAAGGGGCTTCATAAAATGAAAGAAATAGAATATCTCTATTGGTCCTGGTTAGGGGGGGAGCACATTGAGTATATGTATGCCTTTTGTTTTTGTTTTTAGTTTTGTTTTGTATGTAATTTTTTTTAAAAAAATGAAATTTATTTAAAAGAAAGGGGGGAAATATTTAGAGACTTCCCATTGGATTCCATGTGCTGAAAATTAAGGGGCTTCATAAAAGGAAAGAAATAGAATATCTCTATTGGTCCTGGTTAGGGGGGGAGCACATTGAGTATATGTATGCCTTTTGTTTTTGTTTTTAGTTTTGTTTTGTATGTAATTTTTTTTAAAAAAATGAAATTTATTTAAAAGAAAGGGGGGAAATATTTAGAGACTTCCCATTGGATTCCATGTGCTGAAAATTATTTAGGACTACTCTGACCCTAGCTTAACTTGTATTGGCATAAGGGGTGTTGGGTCTGAGTTGAGTAAGTTCTGGGCTTAGCGTAACTCAACATCTCCGTGCTCTTCCCCTTCTCTACCCCTTTTTTGGTTCTTATGCTGGCACAAAATTGTGGTGACACATTTGGTATCAGTCAGCATAGAAGATTAGGCTGGCACAAAGACAGTTTGCTGGCATAAAGGGAGTCATGCCAGCACAAGGGACTTACGTTTGCTCCAAACCCACCACAGTTTTAGCCTATCTTGGGGTTTGGATTGCACACTAAATCAGGTGGTTTTGATCAATATACCTTTCCATTCTGAAATATGTATCTCCATGCACCCTAAATAACCACATGGCAGCAGAATCATAGAAAAAGAAAAGTCTAATGACATGTTTTTTTTATTATTGGAGGCAGATTAGCAACCCTTTCTATTTTATTTGACATGGCTTTTAAAAATGTTTTGCTTTCTCTCAAAGGGCACAAAAGCAAATGCATTGATCAATCTCTCCTCTTTTTTATGTAAAATGAGCTTTGATTTCTCTCTAGATGCCAGCTGTGCTCTAATACCTGTAGCACAAAGTCGTATAATGAGAATGAGCAACCAATGATTCATTATCTTGTTGATCATTCTTTTCTACTGAAGAGTCACTCAAGTAACATAAAAACCTGTTATATTGCATATAATGCTGATGTGGGAAGCAGAAAACAAGCCAAAAGCAGGAGCTTCCATTAGAAAACCTAAAAATAGGCACCTATAATCCTGAGACAGAGATCCTTTTTGGAAACATTTTAATTTGTCATCCAGTTTAAGCATTTGTGGAAGAAAACTTTGATTTATATCTACAGCTATTTTCATTCATAACAGTCCAGGATGGATTCCAAATGAGATTTTATTGGTGAATTACTATTGGGAAAAAAAATCAGGCATTTAGTGCTTCAATGCTGAGGGTCCAAGAAATTTCGATTCCATTTTAGTGTGTTTAACTCACTTTTGATTTTACCCAATATCTGTCAAATATTCTGTGTGAATGTGAGAAGGACAGAGACCGACCGACCGACCGACCGACCTACCTACCTACCTACCTACCTACCTACCGGATAACAAGAATGACAGGGTTCCTTCTCTCCAGGGCCAGTGGATAATCAAACATCAAGCTCTCCAGTCAACTGGAGAGAGACTATGACCATTTGAGATGACACAGTAGAGATGGAAAAATTAAAACTAAGAAAGACACAGTGAAGATAAAAGCCTGGGAAAGGAAAGACAACCCCTATAAAAGGGGAAGAGTGAGGGAGGGGAAAAGAAATCAAAGAGTAGCAAAAAGTGGGAACAGGGAAGCAGAGGAAGCAGGGAGAGAAGAGAAGGAGGAAAGTTGGAGGGATGTGTGGGTGAAACAGAATTTAGAGGCTCAAGTAGCTGAACAGTGAACCCTGAGGGAAAGGAGTTCCAAGAGGTGAGGGAAGAAATAGTGAAAGAAAACCCCTGAACAGGGGAGGTGCTAACTTTCAGGGCAGTTAATAGTAGGAGCATGCTTCAGACTCAGACAAATACTGAATAGAATTGGGATTATTTGGACAGATTCCAGAGATGTCCAAATCAAAGCAGGTCTGCTACAAAGGAAAAAATGTGAATGCCAAATCAAACTGGACTAAGGCAGACAGTTGTGGAAGACTTCCAATTAAATCAAGACTCTTGCAAAGCAGACTGAATTGACATTTGAACACTCCTGAAGAATCGTTAGCAATACCAGTTTGTATGGACATAGAGGTACCATGCATGAATCTCAATAAATTAATACAGCTTTCCAGCATGAAGACTCGTACACTTGTTCAGGTAAGAGCTACAATCAAAAGATCCAGATTTTCAAAATGAAGATAGATCTTCGAATCAGAGCGGAACAGATCAACTTAGTTGACTCCACAGAGGAAAAGACGCAAGAAAACTGCAAGTCTTCCCAGACAGGTGACAACTAACCCAGACAATTTCAACACCTGAGATCAACTAACAAACTTTTCATCACTGGTCTTGAAGACTTGCTGAATAATTGTGAACTGTGCCATCTATTAAAGCTTTTTTTAACTTTTTGTTTTAAAAAAGAGCCAAATAAAGACTAGATTCTGAATACTGATTAGAAAGTGATTGTTACCGAGGGCACTCATTGCAAGCTTTCAGTTCAGCGCTAGTCTGATAAAGTGCTTGTGTGGTAAAGTGATGGAAAAGGTGGCATCATTGGTGGAAGCTTTGGAGTTGAAAGGCAGAAGCAGAAGAAAACTCCAACACTGGTTTGACTGGTTGCTTTCTGTACATAAACAGTCTTTGAAATGTCTGTTTAGCACTAATCAGATAAAGTGAAGGAAAAGAAAAGAGTATAGATTTCACAGAAAATATTGTTTTAAGGGTTCCTTTGAGTTTTTTTTTTTTGACACATTTTGAACAACTTCATTAGGAGATATCAAAGAAGCAGAAGAAAACTCCAACACTGGTTTGACTGGTTGCTTTCTGTACATAAACAGTCTTTGAAATGTCTGTTTAGCACTAATCAGATAAAGTGAAGGAAAAGAAAAGAGTATAGATTTCACAGAAAATATTGTTTTAAGGGTTCCTTTGAGTTTTTTTTTTTTGACACATTTTGAACAACTTCATTAGGAGATATCAATTGCTTAAAAAACAGTCTTTGAAATGTCTGTTTAGCACTAATCAGATAAAGTGAAGGAAAAGAAAAGAGTATAGATTTCACAGAAAATATTGTTTTAAGGGTTCCTTTGAGTTTTTTTGACACATTTTTGAACAACTTCATTAGGAGATATCAATTGCTTAAAATAAGAGTTTTATGAATATGTATAGACAGAAATCCTGTATGACCTTGGTATGATTTGTGCTCA